TTTCTTTCTTTCTTTCTTTCTTTCTTTCTTTCTTTCTTTCTTTCTTTTTCCTGAAGCCTTTTAGTTGTGATAGTTTTCCAGGGTTGGAAACAGCCTGTCCCTGGATCCCAGCTACTTAGGACTCTGGGTTGCGCTAATTTCATTGCATGTGCTTTACTGTAATGTGTGAACCCTGTCAGTATGCTTTATAAACCTTATGGCACAGTCACACATGATCCACAAATCTGAGGGCTGCATTGTACTTTATGAAGCCTGAACATTAGAGCTTGGAGAAGTTGGGGTTTCCGGAGTTTTTTAAAATTGAAATTAGATGAGGATTTTTTTTTTCTCCTTCCGGTCAACCATTCACGTCAGATTCTTGGTGTCTGCCTGGAGAATCCCCCTGCAGTTTTCTTGATAAGATTTCTCAGAAATGGCTTGTCTTTGCCTCCTTCTTAGGGCTGGGGGATGATTGTGCACTCACTTTCTTCTTAAATTCTACCCTCTCAAACTCTAGGTGACTCTTCCACTCTATGAGGGGCATCTCTAGGGGCCATAAAGACCATCTTTTCATACCCGATTTATTGTTTAATGTTGTCAATAAATACAGTCGCTGTAACTGATTCAAGAAACTATGGTTAAACAAGCCAAGGATTGGTACATGAGAACATTTGGGCATCTTATCTTGCCTGTGGGTTTCTAAAAGTGGTTGATTATTGCAGGCAATTGGACGCAAGGTTAGATAGGCATGTGTTCTGATCATACAAATATTAACTTTAATATTAATTATTATCAAGTTAGTATATTAAAAATTACTCCAAATTCCATTTGTTGCTGCAGCCCCTTGCTTTTTCTTCTGCTCCTATTTTTCCTTCACCTGCACTCCCCACTCCCTTTGCACAATGGGTGGGCTTGTTCTTAATACGTGTCTTTTATATACATACACTTCAGTCCCCGCCACTGAAAGGTTGCTGATCCCAATGGGTAGGAGAGCTCTGTTTGTGTAGATCTGCAGGCAGGGATCAAGAATGATATATTTTTTATTTTAATTTATTCTGGGCTTGGGAAGCTAAGCCAGCACAAGAAGTGCTAATTAATAAGAGTATATTGGTGGAAAAAATATGCTTGGTAAATAGTAAGTGGCTATTTTGCTTTTAATGAATGCAGCCCATTTTTTGTTCTGGATGTTTTGATAATATTAATGAGGCATTAAAAGAGGTGACTGTATGCTCTGTAAGAGATGTATCATGAGAATGTGTCCATTGCTCTCAGATCTGCTGTTATCTGAAAAATATGTCATGTAATTGTATTTTAAGCTTAATTCTGAAAAGTCTTTGTGAAGTCTATTTTTTTTTCACTGTAATGAGGTTTGTTTCAAAAAAAAAATTGCTGCTAACATGGAAGAAATTTATTACTGCTGTGTATATATGTCCTTATAGCAATGTGTCAAAGTTGCTGATTCAAAAGGAAATCCACTGTAATTTTGCATTCTTTCCAGAGTATGATAAGTTATTTATTTAATTGTTGTGAAAAGTAAAGGACAGAAAAAATCTTCCTTTAAACTTCACAGCTAACGTGATAACAGTTCCCTAAAATGGTGAATTAATTTGTATGGAAACGTTCTGTCTCATGAGTAAACTAGGATTGGTCAAAAAACCCAATCATACCACTTTTATGGATTAAAATGTATCACATTAAATTAATGTAGCTGTTAAGTTTATAAAATAAATATGTCTCACTGGAAACAAACAAAAATTGAAATCAGATTTAAAATCATATTTTTAAAGGAAAAGATGAGCTTGCTTGGTCACATAATTCCTAAAAGCTGGCATTCATTTTAAGACAACAAAACTTATTGCTTGTTCATATTTAATGTCTTTCATCATTCATTTGTTACTTATGTCAGCAACTGCAAGACCTGAAAATCATATTTGAGTCAAATCCTAGGGAAAAAAATCTATCTCTGTGGTTGTTAAGAGTAGACACCAATCTGATGGCATTTCATCAGTCATAGAAAATCCTGACTAAATAAGGCTCTTTGTGGACTTCTGCTCCCAGAATTCTCCAGTCAAGCGTGCTGGCTCTGGAATTCTGGGAGTTGAAATCCACGTACCAGTATCTTAAAGTTGTCAAGGTGAGTTGCATTTAGTTTTTTTGTGCTAATGAGCACTGATCAAAATTCAAGGAGAGACAGGATTTCTACCACAACCCCAAGAAAGCATGAGAAGATATCAATAATTCCTCCACAGTAGTATAGGGTGTATAAGCTGTAATCAAGCGCTGAATAGTTCCCTAAATTCATTATCATTGTACTATTACAGGCAGTCAAAAACTATGGATCTGCTATATGTATTCCAGAAATGTCCAGACACAGAGATAGTTATCAGAGAATTCAGATCTAAATAATGATGATCCGTGTATATGGATAAGAATAATACTTTCTCACATGAACACCTGGTGTAGTGGTTATACTATGCTGAAATCAGGTTTGCTCATTTTAATTGTGTTAAAAACCCAGTGCACAAAATATATTACATTTAAAAGCATACATTTATCTGCATTTTAACACAACAGTGATAGACAACTTTTAAAAGTGTTATAAAATAGATATGCTGGTATCAAAATTTCAAATTAATGTTCTATAAAAATATTTTAAAGAATACCAATTGTTAAATGTTCATAGCCACCTTGTGCTTCTGCGAACCAAAGCTTAATAATATTTAATTAGTAAACTTAGCGGTACTCCAAAGTTAAAGCTTCACCACCATGCCTGAGCAAAAATTTAAAAAGTCTTGTGATCTTCCTCTAATTTATTCATGGCCTGCTGTGTATCACGACCCACAGTTTAAGAATCCCTGTTTTATGGAACAAACTTTGGATTATGGAATCCAAACTTCCCATTTGGATTTGTCTCCCTGTATAAAAAAGGTATCTTGGGGTATACGTGTGGGTATTAGTGAATTTATCAATTTTCAAATAGAAATGATAAATTTTATGTATCATTTGCGGGAGGTGACTGCAGTTTTATCTGCAGTTCAGTAAAGGTTTATCACATACTTCACAGCATCAATCATGAATGAGGGATCCCATGTTTTTACTCTTGGTTGCACAAACTTGGGTGTTTGTTGTTGCTCAGCAACATCTGAAGAGCCACAGGCTTCCCATCTCTTATAAATCAACCTTACATAAAATGATACATAGAAAGAAGAATGGAATGAGGGAGAGGATTAAGCCCATTGACCATACATACCAAATAGTAAGGTGCAACTATCTGATTATAAACCTATATCAAGCATATGCAAATCCAAAGCTTCTTATGACTTTTGGTATATTTGGAATATACTGTATTATGAGTAGGGCCACTTTGATCTCAGACACTAGCCCTGTGGATTCCATGACATCTCTCTCTAATGAGAAAAATTGGGGAGAAAACAGATTTAGAAATTATCCTGAAATCTTAGGAATAAAAGCAGAATAAAAATGCAAAATAAATACATACATTTCCTGCAGTATGTTGGTTTATATGACAACCTCTCTCCACTCTGTTCCCTTTTTGGAAAGTTAAACTGTGATAACCAATTTACAGCAAACAGGAAAAACTAAAAAGAAGATTCAAGGAACTGGTAATAACAGTGAATTTTGATAGAAAATTCTTGTGTAGCTCAGAAAGGATACTGATGACAAAACGTTAAGAAGTGTCACTAGGGATGTTTCAAAGAAGAGTAGAGTTAAATCAGTACTCTGAATTTTATAGTTCTTCCATAAAGATATTTATTGTTAATTGCAGGCTTCTGCCATCATTGATCTGCTTCCTCTGGCATTATCATTTGCAATAAAAGTAATCCTTTTTTGGTCAGGTAATATAGAGATAACAAATTATAGTGCAGTCTTTTTACAATTCATTTTTCATTCATCCTGTAGAAAACTGAATATCTCAAAGAGATGACAAGAGCATTGAGCAGCATTAAATATAAAAAGGGAGTTCTTGACTGGACTTACCATGGTTTTCTTTAATGCAGTTTTTGCAGCATCTCCAGTACCTGATACAGGCCAGGATTTACACATGACCTAGGTTTATACATTGTTGAATCACTTTAGGATTTCTCCTAGCTTGCCAAGAAAAATAAGGCCCAATTCACTGAAAAAATGAAAACCTCAAAATAAAATTTACATCTCCATTTGAACTGAATCCAAATTCAGGCTTCTGAACCATTTGGGTTAGGATGTAAATTTTTGTAAATGAAATGCAATTTAAAAGTTAAAGAATCACACATTTATCCCAAACTTGCTTGAATAGAATAGAAGATTTAACTATTTTTATATGGAAGTATTTTCATCATTATGAAAAAGTACAATGTGCCGTATATTGGTAAAATTGCATTCAAGGGAATACAGTTTCTTTTGTTCTTTTTTAGGCATGGGTGTTCGCAACAGTGGCATGGGTGATAACCTATACGATATAATGTACTTAAGCATTAATTATATAAATGGAATTTCCTCAAAGTTCTTATATACACTCTTATTTTGAGTGGTTGGCCTTTGCGTTCTGTCCCAGGAAAAAAATCCCAAATTCTGATGTTTCTAGCTATTCTAAATAATTTTTCTGATGTCACTGAACCTTTCAGCATAATAAATATTCAGTCCCACACCTAT